CCCCCCCCCCCCCGCTCCCCTTTCCCTCTTTTGGCTACTAACAGGACAAAGGTTGCAAGTTTCACTGCTATGCTATGACAACTTTACCTTGATGAAATATCATCTTCAACCATATCTTCAGAAACTTGTAGAGGAACAGAAGCATCAGGCCCTTCTTCATCAAGGAACTCTGCCAAAGCAGCAAGATAAACACAATATAAAACTTGAGGCGGAAATGCAACAAAACAAAGACTGAACTTTCAGGTTTTGAAAGTCAAAGTTGAAGCCTTCATAAAGATTTTCTGTAGTGAGAGATTTCACATTTTAGGTAATGTTCTACAATGCCATATGATGTGATACGATATGATATGAATACCTATCAAAAAATATCATGTCATTAAATGTCAAGGACTGGAAGTACGTGTCATGTACATAATTCAAATAAAGCTTAATACATTGCAGAGGTGCAGTTAACGGAAATTTCTTTTTAAAAATATATAATAGAGATAATGTTAGTGGTAGCCTAAAGCAACAAAATGAATTTGACATACCTAATGGTCGATTGAGGTAGTAATTCACTGAGCTACACAAGTGTGGGTCATTTTCAGCTTTAGGCTCCTTAATATCATATTAGCAATGAAAGTTAGAATCTTATAAGACTTACACATTGAATGGTAAGAAAAGAAAATAGATTCACAAGAAACCAAACCTGCATCCAGAAGAAGAACTTCCTATCATCAGTGTTGAACTTCAATAAGTAAACCCTTCCTGATGCTTGATTAACCTTGTGAACCAAAATTTATGATTTGAACATTAGATTTTTGGGAGGGGGTAGATCTGCATTACAAAAATCCCAAATAATCCTAAATACCTTTTCAAAAACTGCCTCATCAGGAAAGATGATCTGATCCTGTGGTATTTTTGTTAAGGAAATTTTAGCAAAAGTATATAAAATAACAGAAGATAAATATAAACCGAAAGAGTAAACACACAAAAATATGGAAATAGTGAAACTGTGAAGTGAACAAGAATTACAACAAAATAAGGACGTACAAATATAAGAGGGAGAATTGAGCAAGTATGAAAGAACAAAGACTTAAAAATAATAATAACAATAACAAAAACAGCAACAACAACAAAATACAACTAAAATAATAATAATAATAATCATAAAGGGCTTAAAACATTTCAAGAAAAGGAACATGCATAATGCATTTGTGAAATACAAAGTTCCAACACTACAAATCAAGATTAGAAACTGGAAAAATATTTTTGAAAAAATGAAAAATAAACCAGGATACATCTTCAACAACATTTTGGCTCCGATCAAGCCACTGAAAATGCACCAACCCCTCATCACCCTGATACAGAAAGAAGATGGATTTACTCTAAAATGTTGTGCCAGAAATACTTCAAATAAATATTAGATAGAATGGATGTCAACTTCTGAAGGCTAGAATTAGAATAATGAAATACCTTTGCAATGCGAACAAGTCCTTTACGGGTATCAGGCGCAACCTTTTTCCCCTCAAAAACCATTTTACCAGCACGAAACTCCAGCATAATTTCCTGCCAATAGATGTTAGTTTGATGAAGAAAGTCCAACCATGACACAGAAAACAAGAGATGAACACAGAAACATGTGTGCACTCAAACACAGACAGGCGTACATAAAAGTATAGAATTCTGGGCTTACTTGCCTAAAAGTCAATGTTTGAAACTAACACTCTGATGTCAACCAACAACATACCAGCAAAGCAAGAGAAGAAAAGAAATTGAGATAGAAATTGGAGAGTAAACATATAATTTATTTATTTTTAGTAGCAGAATCATAATAGTTGGAGCTTCTGAATTTGTGTACAGTATTGGGAATTTGTATAACAAAATGAAACAAAGAAGGTGAGGAATACATGTAGAAAGGAGAACCTTGTACCATAATGCTACACAGAAGGTGGAAAATGAAAATCCTAAGCAAAGTGTGTAAAGAAGAGAAGCCAATATTTAATAAATTTGATAGAAACTCCAAATTCTAAATATTCGTCCAAAAGGTCCCTCAAACTATAAACTCAACAGAAACTTCACCTGCTCAATGGATATTTCCTAACAAAATTTCTCATCCATCTTCTATTTTATTTCATGGGCAAATAAAATGCAACTCATACGAAAGCCAACGCATAATTGGAGATGTCATTCCTTTTAAAGACCATCCAGAAAACATAAGGAGGTCCTTCCGCATAAGCTAAAAAAACCAATGTTACTGTGACTATCCCCACTTACAAGTCTTTCAACCAACTTGGTGTACTCCAAACTATCATGTTCCAACATAAATTTAATCGTAAATACAAATTTTCACAGCCATAATCAAACGTTCAGGCCCTGAAAGCCTTTCCTCTGGAAAATATTGACACTTGCAATGTTCCATGGTTGTTTTATTAAATAACATATCACATATGGACGAAGTCACAACTATTCTATAGCTTCCAATATCCTGTAGATTAAAACAAATATAGCTACCCATATATGTATATATATTACCTGCATTTGTGGGATAGCTGCGTTTGAAGACGAACCCATAGTTTAACTTCTCTGTTTGCGGCCTTTAACGGCTCAAAACTACAGAATTGAAGGGGTGGGAACGAAGAAGATGAAAATATTGAAAATTAGTAAATGGAAAAAATAATAGAAGTCCAATGCTTTGAATGAAATCGAACCCTAGAGAAAGAAAAAACAGAAACAAAAATTATCAAAAGAAGCAAACAAACCCCGAAAATAAGATAAATAATCATCATAACATCAGTGATAATAATGAGAATGAGTACCTGTATATTGCATAAAAAATAAAGATATTTGATTTCTCGGTGATGAGCTTGTGAGAGTTTTGTTTTACAAAGAGTTTTATTTCAGGATTCTGAGTTGTCAGGGACTCGAGGTCGAGGACGAGTTGGGCTTTTCAATTCGGGCACCAAATCGCACATATTTACTAAAGCGGCAGTCGGTCAAAAAATTTATTTATTTATTTATTTTTAAAAAACATTTAATAAAAAACATTACAATGATGGATTTTACCACCATACAAATCAAATGTAGCATACCATCTAAGAGCATCCACAGTGGGGGGGTGTATTTTCGGGGGTGTAAAGCCACTTTTACATCCCCTTTACACCTCTGGGGGGTGTAAATACGCTTTTTGCTCCAATGAGAGGGTGTATTTTCGGGGATGTAAAGCCACTTTTCTCCATTTTCCCTCACCTTTTTGCAGCTGGGTCCCACCTGCAAGAGATGTAAAAAAAGATGTACAATTGCATCTAAATATACATCTCCAAGGTGGTGATGTAATTATACATTCATATACACCCCCCCATTGCGGGTGATTCCGATCACAATGGGTGTATATTTAACATACACCCCCTTATACACCCCCTACTGTGGATGCTCTAATAGAGAAGGAATTTAAACCAAATACGTGAATGAGAGTGAGTCTTGCCTCTCTTAGCTAGAAAGTCAGCAACTTGATTAGCTTCTTAAACTAATAGTGAAGATTGATTATCTTAGTTTCACTTCCACTTCTTCTTTCATATTTTTCACTTCCATTTCGATAAGGACGTATGTTGGTTATGCTTAGACTCTAAACTGCACTCGAATTAATGTAATACCCATAGTTTGATTTAGTTTAGTTTGATTCGATTTAGGTCTCAAACTAATAACACAATTGAATTAATTAATTTAATGAATGTTTAGGTTCGGTCATTTTTCTTCGATTAAATAAATATTCTATACCATTTATATATCAAAGAGAACTTTGTACCACAGTGGTGGCCTCCCCCCTTCCCCCTGCTTGACACCCAGGTTCGAAACCCCAAGATTGCGTTTGGTTCATGGGAAAGGAATCTTGGGGATGGAAAACCAATTGCTTTCCCATGTTTGGTAAGTCAGGCATGGGAAAGCATTGCCTAGCACATGGGAAAGTAGGAGGGAAAGTGAATCCTTCCTTCCTACTTGGGTTTCACTTTCCCTTCCCATGGGAAAGTAAGACTAACTTTTTTTTGACTAATTTGTCCTCATAATTACAATTTTTATCCAACAATTATTGGTATTTTTTTATTATTTTAATAGGGATACAATTGGAAAATTAAACAAAATTTGTTTTCCATTCCTACTCAAAACAAACATGGGAAAGGAAATAAAGTGATATTTCCGGGTCACTTTCCCGGCATTAACAAACACGGGAAAGGAATCACCATTTCCCATCCCTTGAAAAATGACATGGGAAATGATTTCCCATCAAATTCATTCCGTGAACCAAACGGAGCCCAATGTTTTCTTTCCTCCCAATGTAACAAAAAAAAAAGACTTTGTACAGAAATGGCACCCTAGCCTAGTTGTCCAAGGGTTGTCTTTGGAGAGCAACTAGTGCGACCCAAGAAGTATCCCACCTTGGGCCTTTGAAAAAACCTCTACAGTCCCTGAGCGCAACCTCAATATTGGGCCTATCTTTACTGAGCTGGAGGGGTCCAACACAAATGAATCCTAGATAAGATGGGAGCTTCTATAATGAGGATGCTATTTGAGGAGTTTATTTGAGGAGGCCCATCTCACCATCAAAAGGGGTGTGGAGCCCCCAATGCACCCCCCCCATGTGCTTTGTTTTTTGTTGTTGATGGTGAGATTTCACCTCCTCAAATAACCTCCTCACTCAACCTCCTCATTCTAGCCTTTCTATAGATAACCATTGAAGATGCAGTTCCTGAGCCCAACCTCAATTGGCGAAAGTTAGGCTTGAAGTTAGCTGAAATTGGGCTTGGATATGGCTCAAGTATATATATCTCAATAAATAATTATATTTATATTTTATTCGGTCCCGTTCGGTTAACTGCAGTTTTAGAGGAGATGAAACTGGTCTGAACTGGTCCGGTTCGATTTTTGAATATTTTGAATTGACATTTTTTTTTCAATTCGAATCGGCTCGGTTTTGCGGTTCTCCGGTTCTTATGCCCATTCTGAGCATAATTGCTTCCTGGTTTTGACTGCTTCTGCAAGACTAAAATTGTCATCATCATCAGTGCAGCCAGTGCAGGCTGGCTGCAAGAGAGGGTTATTAGAATTAAAGTGAATACCTCACAGACGCAGACAAACTGCAAATTCTCCATCAAGAAGTAGAATTAGAACTTGACATGGAAAACAAGGTTTTAATGCAGTACAACCACACGGATCCCTGCTCATTTGCGCGTTGGACTACCAAGTACTTACCTCCATCCCTCTTTTTTGCCTTTTTTTATTTTATTTTTTGTTAAATTTAATTATTTTTTAAATATGGGTTTTGGCAGAGAATGCTTCCAGTTCATGACTGCCAGGCCATGGCAACAAGTTATGGATTTTTATTCGGATGTGGTGAAGGACCGCAAGCCCTTATCAGCGTTGTTGGGCAAAGCTTGTTTGAGTAAGAGTAACATTTACAATAGGCTAGAGAGTCTACCGCCATCTCATGATAAGGGTGGGAGGTGGGCACGACTAACATTCAAGATTGTTGTTTCGTATCATGGTGGTTCCTTTGATGGCTGGCAAAGGCAGCCAGGCCTCAACACTGTTCAAAGGTGCTAGCTTTGACAATCTTTGATGCTTTTTTGTACATTGCAAAATTGCCCATGTGGCTTTAACTGTGGTTTTGTTCTTTGTTCAAGTGTTTACGATGTTTGCTCTTGTGTTGGCACTTGGCAGTGTGGTGGAAAAATCTCTGGGAAAATTTGTTGATGAGAGGAAAGCGCAGATGCTGAAAGACAAAGGTTTTCCATTAGAAGGCGCTGCTCTTGTTGCCGGACGCACTGACAAAGGAGTGACTGCCGTTCATCAAGTTTGTTCTTTTTGTACGTTACAACCTCATTCATTGTAACTCATTTAGTTTTAGTTTTAAAAAGATCTGCTCAGGAAGTTCTATAGCAGTTGGTTCATACTTGTCATAAAGGAAAAGAATAGTAAAAGAAAGTGAACCACCAACTCCCTTGCTGAAATAGAGTTGGTTTTAATTCTTGATATTGATGTCATCTGGGGTTGTATAAGGCTAATTGTTTATGCTTTTGCTAGAACAATTTTTCTAAGCATGAGTGATCCTTTTGTTTGCATCATTTAAAAATGAGTCTATATCAATTAGATAACTTATATGTGTTACATTCTTTTGCGCTAACATATGCGCATAATATTTCCTCCATTTTCCTTGAAGCTGTCATTGTTTAGGTACTTGCTACTGGGTGTTTGGTATTAATTTTTCTAAGACAACTGTATTTTTCATTTATGCCTGATGTACGGTAGTCTTCTCCAGTGTTTCTCCATTATAAGATTCTGCCAACTGGCGCATTTGGGGGTTTGCAGATTTTCTAATATTGCTTCATTTGTCTTTTTTAGATACTTGGAGAAAGGATGTCAAATCTCAAGATATTACAGATGCCATCAATAGTGCAGCACCAGGAAAACTCAGGGTCATATCAGTTACTGAGGTGATGTTTTGTTGAGATTTTCCTACAAATCACTAGGTTGAAATCCACTAATCATATTTTGGTTGCTTCAATTCTTTTAGCAAGCTGACCTTGTTATCATTGCTGCTTCAGAACTTTATCTTCTGCATAATGTCTATATTTATTTCTTTACTTTTAATTTTAGTACTCTGATAGCTAGTCTGTCTTACTGTAGGTATCACGTGCCTTCCATCCAAATTTTACTGCCAAATGGAGGCGTTATTTATATATATTTCCATTTAATGATGAGGAGGACATGGAGCAAAGTAATCAGAGTGGAGAGAATGTTCAAAATTTTAAGAGTAAAGAAAATTATCATGAGCATAAAAATGGATGTGATCAATGCAATGAAGCAAATGTTGGAAACTTAGTTATCAACGATAACGAAGACCTTGAAACTCTGAAACCTCGGGAATTCACCGTAAGCAGGGTGAACCAACTTTTACAGAAACTAGAAGGAAAGTTATTATCGTATAAGATGTTTGCACGTGATACCAAACCATCCAGAAATGAGTAAGAATTAAGATTCGATTTTTCATCGGTACTTGGAGGCATATCATTTTTCAGATTATAGTTTTGACCGTTCCTTCGCAACTCCAATTTGCATAATCTTGGCCTAGCTCTTTCAGTGGCCCTAATTTGTATTATTTGGTAACCACTGGTGCATGCACTGCCTTTGACTAGTTTGGTCGAGACCATATTAATTGTCATCCTCTCATCTTGTAATGCACTGGTGTAAGCTGTTGTTTTTCAAAATTCTTATTGTTTCTGTTTGTTTACTTATCTTTCATGCCACATGCCCACAATCCTCAGTTCATTTGTTTCATTGTGTTTGTATATTTATACTGCTCAGGATAACAGAAATAGTGAAGCAATTTTGATGAGATTGAAGTTCATTATAATTTGCATTGGCTTGATTCTATATAGAGGAAAAATTGAAAGGATTATAATGAGTTCTCATGTGTATCCAGCCAGATATATCTCCTGTAATCATCCCAAACCAACTTCCCAACCCGATATATAGGTGCCTGGGAATGACTAGTCTTGTATAGAAATTGATGGCAGAGGTTCAAATGCTATTTCACTGTCTAGGGTCTTTCGAATCAATCATGCTTTCATACACAAGGAAATAACTTTGCTAGCTGAATATCCCCTTAATATTTCCTATCGAAATAATATCCCTTTAATATTGACTTGCCTTAGCAGAGGGAAGTTGTTCTTCCATGTTCTTACAGTATCTGTTTGTCTTTTCAGGGGTCCGCCAACAGAGTGTTTTCTCTACCATGCTCGAGCAAAAGAATCCAAACTACCATGTTCAGTATGAGTTTGCTGCTACTACTAGTCTTGCAAATCTTGTCTCTTCTATTTATATTTTCCTTCTGTGATTTAGGTTTTTTAAGTTCACATCTATTTTGTAGGATGGGACTCAATTATTTAGTTTCTGCACCCATATATACACATGAGACTGACACGAGTAATCATGTTCACTGATGGGAATAACGCGTGCCATAATTTTAGACCTCAATTGCCTCCCTCTCTCAATAATATAGATGGGAATTTGGATGGACAAAGCGTACATGAATAAACTGAATCAGAAAAACCGAAAAAAAATCATATGAGGGCCTCGCCTCAGGAAGTAAATTCTTGGAAAATTTTCAGTATCATCTTGCAGTTTCTAGTCTTCAAACTTTCCACTATGTGAGGACAGGATTTGAAACCGTTCTAACCAATACTTGCCCTAAATCATAAATATCTTATACCTTAAAGGCATGAGTACTTGTGTCCATAAATGTGTGCTTATAATTTATAGTTAGATTGCAGGATTTATCTGAATATACTGTTTAGAACATATTGGATTAAGCACAATGTACGTGGTTACCTTTCACTTTTCTTTTGAATGGGCTGACATATACATTAAAATGATGTGAAATTGTTCCAAACTATTGTTTAGGTGAGCACAAAATACTCTTGGCTGTGCCTTGCCTGCAATGGATTTGATATTTTATTTGCAGAAATTTCGTAACTCTAATTATATGAGCTTCATGCTCGAATATTACATCTGTTGTTGTGAATGTAGTGATCCAGCAAAATGTATACTTACCCATGAGTGTATATGAATTACTAATGGCACTGTGGTTATGTGTAGGAGCATGAGAAAGGAAGAAGGGTTATGTGTATTGAACTTGTTGCTAATCGATTCTTACGCAGGGTAATGAATTTACTTGGTATAATTGAAGCACGAATTTTTTTTTAAAAAAAGTTTCTTTTTTATTTAATGTCTTGTCTGGTTGGTGGGTTTCCATTTGGTTCTTGCAATATTAGCATCGTTGAATGTCCTCTTGACATCTTTGCCAGATTTTACTAATCCTGCTGGTGATCTTATGGTCTTTTACATATATTGCATTTCCACTAACTTGTATGGGGTACTTCGTAGCCAAAATTAACAAAAGAAAAAAATTGGGGGTTACAATTTTCTGCAGATGGTTCGGGTTCTTGTGGCAACCTCAATAAGGGAAGCAGCTGCAGGTGCAGATGAGGATGCATTGCTAAAGCTGATGGATGCTACATGCAGACGTGCCACTGCTCCCCCGGCACCCCCTGATGGTTTATGTCTTGTTGATGTGGGTTATGAAGAATTTGATCCACAAGATTGCCTCATCTTGAAAGAGTGAATGTACAGTGACATTCATGCAGAGGTAGCTTCCGATCTTTAAAGTGAATACAAAGCATACACATTAAACAATGATAAACCCATGTTTTGGTATTAGATGGAAATGTAATTCATCCGATGGATCTCAACCTATCCAAAACACTTCTTTTATGTAACTACTTGCCGCTGAAATTTTTACAGAAATGTCAAATTTTGTTGTGAGGGCTATTCCAGATTAATTCTTGTGATACTTTCTGAACTGAAATCAAGTCAGTTGTGTTTAGTAAGAGAAGTAATGAAGTGGCTTATTGTTCTAACACCCATTGGGTTCCTGCATTATATTCATATGTCAAAATCCAGTTTGGCCGCAGTTTGCAAATTCTATGAGTTCAGGTCGGATGCCTAAAATCTTATGTCGTTTTGAACCAAGAGTGAAAGGAATAGTAGGGTTTGATGTGAGTGGGGCTAATGCAAGTTTTGTTTTGCAAATGATGTGTTAGTCTGTCATTTATTCAAATTTGAGCCCACTCGGCCTCAAGTGTCATTTATCCAAATTTGAGCTCAATTGTGAACTCATGTCATTTATTCGAATCTGAGCCCATTCGGCCTCATCTAATTAGAACAAGCAAGTCTTTTGACCTAAAAAAATAAGAACCTGATGTTTTTTATTCAAAAGTAGAAGGGGTACGGGAATTTACTCACACACTGATACCTAGGGATTTCGAACCTAAGACTTGGTTTTAAGCCAAAGATATGAAAAACTACCAGGGCTGGGCATGGCTATGATTTCCACAAGGATCATACTTTCTTGGTGGGTTAAACTTATACCACTCACTCCTCTCCGAGGGGACTTCCTTCTTTACTTTTCCCATTAAGACTGATATGTCCAATGATATCATTTGGTGAATGGACTTGATGACGTGTCTCTAGTTTTATTGTGTTTTAATTACCTTCCCATCATATTATTTCAAATCCCTCCATCAGCATCGTCAATTCCATCAATTTCAGTCATGCCTTGATTAACTCCATCAACATCATCAATTCCATCAAATCTCTGTCATGCCTTGAATTCTCTTTTTTTTTTTTTGGTTGTTGTTGTTGTTGCCAAATCTGTCATGACGTGTCTCTGTCATGCCTTCATTATTCTTTTGGGGGAAACTTTTCTCCTTGATTATTGTTATTGTATTTTCCTTTCTTAGTAACATCTCACATGCATAATTTCTGTAACCTTGGTGCCTTGCACACCCTATGAAATACACAATTAATTATTCAATTCCTTTTTAAATTAACATTTTTTTGGTTACCTATAGAATCATCAGATACATCACACGCTACAGAACGAAGGTGTAGTGAACAGAAATTAAAAGGGGTTGATTCTAGAGTTTTTTACTTGCTCTGATAGATTTCTGGTGTGACTTTTTGTCATGTTTTTAGAGAAGCCAATGTAGTGGCACATAGATTAGCTCGTTCTACCTTGTCGGCATTCAATTCGAGGAAACTTTTGTCTCTCCAGTAAATCACCAATTGTTTGAAGAAAAACAAAAATAAAATGAAAGAGTTGAAAGAGGGCTGACAGATATCAATCTCATGCTCAAATTTTTCAAAGGTGGACCGGATAATTCTCATGCAAAATACACATATAACCCATGTTGCACAAAATTACAGGAATTAAGGAAAAGACTTCGTCAACTTTTAGACAACCCCATTTCTCCAATGATCCCTCCCCATTTGACCCTTGTAAACAGCCCTTCCAAACTTCTATTCTTAGCCTTTTTCTCATCTCCTCTTTCTCTCTCATCACTCACTCTTTCCCCTCTCTATCTCAATGCCATCAAAATTAACCACTATCAACCTTCAAATCCTTCTTCACCCGCACCCTGACTCAATTTTTGCAGCGCAGCCCCCTCTAAAAGGGCGCACACGCTGCCCCTACTTGTGCGTGTACGTACAACCCTATTATGCAACGTACCTACACCACCATTATGGAACACCAACAACAACAACAACGTAACAAGAAGAACATCATGGTGATGATGATGCTTCGCGCATCATTGTTGTCTCGTACCATGATCCTGTTCTTCGTTCTTGTGTTGTTGAATGTTCGTGTTGCCTCTTCTGCCGGGGCTTCTGATACCGAAACCCTCCTCAAGTTCAAGGATTCCTTGAAGAACACGGATGGATTGACCAATTGGAAAAGTTCATCCATGCCATGCAAAGGAGCAACGGCGAATTGGGTTGGAATTCGTTGCGATGGAAAGGGGAGAGTTTGGGGTCTGCAGCTTGAGGAAATGGGGCTCAATGGTGACATCAATGTGGACATACTCAAGGACCTGCCTGACTTACGAACCATAAGCTTTATGAAGAACAACTTTGATGGTCCCATGCCTGATTTGAGGAAACTTATTGCCTTAAAAACTGTCTACTTGTCTGATAACAAATTCTCTGGGGCCATTCCTCCCGATTGGTTCGCAGGAATGTCTTCGTTGAAGAAGGTTCACTTGGCGAATAATCAGTTTACGGGGGAGATTCCTAGGTCGTTGACAGGTTTGGACAAGCTGGTGGAGCTGAGTCTTGAAAAGAACAAATTTAAAGGCAAAATACCAGATTTTAGGCAGCCCGCCGGGTTCACAACCTTTAATGTGTCTAACAACAAATTGGAGGGTGAGATCCCGGAAGGCCTTCGGAAATTGGATGCAAGCTCCTTTGCTGGTGAGTCATAAGTTCTCTCTCTCTCTCTCTCTCTCTCTCTCTCTCTCTCTCTCTCTCTCTCAATATCCCCTGAAAGAATCAATAGAAGAAATTAAAGGCTCATCTCATGTATTCTGCTAACGGTGTTTATAATGCATTTCCCTCTCCTTTCGTTCAAGAACCAAACAAAGCGTGGTTTTTTTCCCCATCTTTCTTATTCAACAAGGAGTAGAAAAGCGAGAGTCGAATTTTTGTCATGGGTGTGGATTAAGTTACATAAAGAAAAGTCCGGCGTATCCTTCCTTCTCAGCATCCTTCTCTTAGCTTATGAAATGCCCATTTGGGGTGTTTCATCAAACACAAACACCTTTCCCCCCTAAGGAGAACTTACAGGTTGGTGAGGTAGGGTGGGAAACGGGTTAGGATTACGATAGGTTAAGTAATAAAGCATTGGAGTCATCCTGCATCTTCAAGATTAATACATGAGGAGTTTAAGAATCTGCATAAGAGAAAATTCCTCCTAGCTACCTCAAACATTAATTGATGAATTAGGTTATAAGCCTCTTTTTAAGCAAACCAAACTCATAGAGTGCACATAGACAACAAAATTTTGTTCTTTAAAGAAGTAGAAAATTAACAGTTTTCCCGCCTGAACATGCAGGTAATGAAGATCTATGTGGAGGGACATTAAAAGCATGCCCCTCAAAGAAGCCCGCAACCTGGAGTATCGTGGTGGTTGTGATCATCGTGATAGTAACACTCGCAGCCATTGCTATTGCAGCGTTCTTCATCCTCAGATGCCGCAACAAAGCATCTGAATCATCGATAGAGGCTCCACCGCCATCAACAGAAACTGTCCAGAACAGATCAGTTCGAAACGAACCAGAGCAACAAGCAAGTGCTCCAGGCTCACCCGAAAACTCTAATGGGAGAGAAGTAAGTGGAAAGAATAATAAGGCTGATCAGAGCTTGAAGCTTTCCTTTGTGAGAGATGACAGGGAGAGGTTTGATATGCAAGACTTGCTGAGAGCCTCGGCTGAGGTGTTGGGCAGTGGTTGCTTTGGGTCTTCTTACAAGGCTGCTTTGCTGAGTGGACCAGTGATGGTTGTGAAGAGGTATAAGCAGATGAACAATGTAGGAAAAGAGGAGTTCCAAGAGCATATGAGAAGGATAGGGAGATTGGCACATCCTAATTTGCTTCCACTTGTGGCTTATTATTATAAGAAGGAAGAGAAGCTCTTGATTTCTGACCATGTTCAAAAGGGTAGCTTGGCTGTTCATCTTCATGGTAAGTTCCTTTTAAAACATATAGATGCATTGCACGATCATATTTTCTATACTAGTTGTTCTACAAATAAGTTGATGCATCCTATTATTTTAATAATAAAACTATTTGTATACTGCATTTTGATACATGGTGCTTTTTTTTGGTCGATTACATGATGCATTCGTATGGGTGGATTTTGTCTTGATTGGAGATGTGGTCCATATAGTGTTGCTCCTATAGTAATTTGCATGTTTAATGTTCATATATGGTTATGGACAGTCTTACATTTGTGTTTGAGTTGTATCATGCCTTTCCCCTTTCCCCTCTCCCATATAAGCAATATCACACAACTTTTGGGTATGTTAATATACATCAATCGGTTTTGACATAAAGATCATATATTCTGACCATATTGTAGATCGCATCTCTAATAGAAGTGAAACTAATAATTTCCGATACAAATGAATATCACTTACAATTTGTGGTTGTATTATATCTAGTTTTTTGATAGATAAATATATTTTGGGATATGAGTTTATGCATGGTAAAAATATACATTTGCAAATTAAATGGAACTCGAAAGCACTTTGATCGAATTAATGCCTAATCAATAGTTACTTGGTGTTATTTGCACTTTCTCATCAGGACACCAAACCGTAGGCCAACCAAGCTTAGACTGGCAAACCCGTTTGAAGATTGTCAAAGGAGTAGCCCAGGGCTTACGCTATCTCTACCATGAGCTTCCCAGCCTAGTTGCACCACACGGCCATCTGAAATCCTCAAATGTCCTTCTCAACGAGTCCTACGAGCCCCTCCTCTCCGACTACGGCCTCATCCCCGTGGTGACCCAAGAGCATGCTCACACCCTCATGGTGGCCTACAAGTCCCCAGAGTACATGCAAAGCAAGCGCATCACAAAGAAGACTGACGTGTGGAGCTTCGGCGTGCTGATCTTGGAGATCTTAACTGGGAAGTTGCCCACCAACTTTTTGCAGCATGGGAAGGGAAGTGAGGAGGACTTGGCGAGCTGGGTCAACTCGGTGCCTCAGGACGAGTGGTTCAGTCAGGTGTTTGATAGAGATATGGGGGCTGGCAAGAATAGTGAGGGGGAGATGCTCAAGCTCTTGAACATTGGGTTGGGTTGTTGTGAAGGGGAGGTGGAGAAGAGATGGGATTTGAAAGAGGTTGTGGAGAGGATTGAAGAGGTGAAAGAGAGAGATAATATTCATGGCGATGAAGATTTTCTCTCTTCTTGTGCTAGCGAGGGCGACATGACGAAGATTGTGGGTTGATGATATCATCAAAAATAGTTTTCTTTCTCTTTCTCCATGATCAATCTCTTGATTTGTATCTCTGTCCCAATCCCCCAGGATGAGAGACAACAATGAACTGCTTGTCTATAAGATTTGGATTTATATGCAAGCTCTAGGTTTAAACGAAGTACTTTTTATATTTCATAACATATATAAATTGATTCTAATAACTATTAGTCATCTAATATTAATCATATCCTTACAAGCCAATAAACATTTTATGAAAAAAGTATTGACACATAAAATATTCCTAAGCAAATAGAATTTGCCTTTCACATGTTTCAAATTGGGGGAAGTTTTCCCTAAAAACAGCAATATAAATAAATAAATGTACAATTCTAATTCTTCCAATTATATTGACTATAACCCCTACCTAATGAAAAAGTAAAAATGAATTATATATAGTTTGATAAAAATGATCATTACGTGGGTTAGGCCAGTTGTCTAAGGTAATATGCTTGTCCTCTTGCACCCGAGTTCAATCCCTCCCCCACATTAGAGTAGTTTAGCACTTAGAGCACTTTTTTGAAGAGAATTTTTTTTTTCTTCTATAGTTTGATTCTTGAAGCGTTTCTCCTTAACAGTTTTCAATTTCTCTCTCAATGTTAACATAAATTAAGTAAAAAAACTACTAATGTCGTTTGATCCTAATAATTAGGAGAACTCTGATTCTTATACAACATGGCCATAAAAATGAATTCTCTTGATCAGTCATTGAACAATACAATAGAAGAAGTTGGGTTTTGAATCTTTTCTTCTTCTTCTTTTCATTGTTCTTCAACTTCTTGGATAGCATGGGAGGCTTCTCTAACGTAACGGTACGTAGCGAAGACTTTGATTAACTTTGTTGATGGACTTGGTTAATATTAGAAATGTTAACCGACGGGTCGTTTTGGCATGCATCTTCTCTAGTTAGGGTCAAAGTTAATTGTAATTAATTAACTTCCCGCTAATCATGCTGCATGCATATATCATATATGGGGGTTAGCTCGGAACAGAGTTAATGTTTGTTTTAATTAGCTTCTAGTAGGTTTAATTAAGTACTTCCATGGCCCTTAAGAATGTGAGCGGTTTAAGAGTACAGAAGGGAGAGACACAGAGACAGAGAGCTTTTCATTAAATTTCCTATTTTTCTAATTGAAAGGTTCTGATTTTTTTTTATTTTATAAAAATTTATTTATGTTGTCGTGTCTGCATGTTTGATGAAGAAGAAGTCATCTCTGAATTCGAGAGTTGAGAAGGAGGGATCAAGGAGAGAGAGAATGTCGAATATTGTTGATAATGGAAATCATCAAGGCGCAAGGACAATAGCAGTGGCCGTAGACGAGGGCATTCCCAGCCAAAATGCTTTGAAATGGGCTGTTAATCATCTTCTCTATGGATCTACCCGCCATACTCCTATCAAGCTGCTCCATGTTATTAACCCTTCTAATTCCAATAATAACCCCCATGCAACTGGTATATCTCTCTCTCTCTCTCTCATATGTATAATGCGTGATGAATTACTATTTGTCTAGGTGTTGTATCATATCTCTAAGAGGAGGAGAAATTCTTTGGTCCAACAAGATAACCTCACTCATTCGGCCATGGACGTACACAAGGGAGACCTCTTGCATTAGAGTCCCACACAGGCCCACTCTGGTGGACCCCAATGCAGGGTTCGCCTTGTTTATGTTTTCAGCCGGACGAGTGCGGTGGTCTCACCAGACCAAAGAATTTGTCCTCTAATAGACGCATGACTCACATGTCTCACATAAGTGCAGTGAGTTTCGTATGTTGAGATGGTACAAATAGTAGTATTCTTTCAAGCATGATTGAAACATTTTGGTTTCTGGGTGCCATGGGAACAACGCAATTAATGAAGGGCAAGCTCATGAACCTCCAAACATGGACTTCATGCTTCCATTTCGGTGCTATTGTACTCGCAAACGAGTGAGTTCATTTCTTAACTAGGATTTTTTATTTTATTCATACAAGAAGCTAGCTATATTGAATGATTTGGAATCATAATAAGGAGATCATGTGGTTGATTGATTTGTGCAACTAATTAATATTATTAGGTACAATGTGAGACTGTTGTGCTGGAGGATCAAGATGTGGCTGAGGCATTACTTGACTACATTTCCCGCAATGGCATTGAGTTTATTGTTCTCGGTGCCACTGCTACATCCAGGATTGGGTTTTCTAGGTATACATATAAACACATATATACACATTTTCTCTTATCAGGACGTCTAGAATTTCTTATCGTATGGACGCCATTGTTTCTTTCAGTTTTCCTCTCTGCTTTCCTCCCTGTCTTTTGTACTCATATGCTTCAACGAGCAGCAGTGGGTATACAAAACAAGCTTTAGATGTAAGAAATATAGCTGCAACAATGGCGTCCATACGGTAAGGAAATCTGGACATTCCGATAAGAGAAGAACTGATATATATATGTAAGATTCTGTGTGTTTCTGGGTTTCTGTGTGTTCAAACTCCTCTGATGGTCAAAATATGTTGTTCGATCAGGCGTCTGTTCAAGGCATCTGAGTCTATTCCAGGCAGAGTCCTAAAGTTGGCACCACATTTCTGCTCTGTATACACCATCAAACAAGGTAGGGTATGCGAAGGGCGCGAAGCCTCTCGTCCTCTACCAAACATTCGAGCAGCTGATGAGAGGGCAGAAGAATCTAATCACATGTAAGCAAGATTCAATCTGATTCAGATTCACAACATGACAACATATATAAGCATCTAAGTGTGGTCGTCCGCATTCTGGACTGCACTCAAACTGCTGCTATGAATCTATCTTTTACTTATTTGACTCATGTATTGATTAATTGATTTGGTTGATGCATGTCATTCTCTAGAGGCAGAGCTCCAAGCAACAGAGCATATGATGAGGTCTCATTGCCTGACAATGACATCTCGCTTGGAAGACCAAGTACTGATAGCATATCTTTTTACCAAAATTTTGGGTCTGCTGATATGAGCCGAGTTCTTTCAGAATCCTCAAATTACTTGGAGAGTATTGCAAAACTAGAATCAGATTTTGACAGTTTCGATTTGAACACTCCACATGAACTGTCATCAACTGCCCAAGGAATGCCATTCCTGTCACAGAAAGTATTGGTAAGTTATCTGAAAAAGGATATGAGTAAAAGTCAGACAACTTGAATCATTTGAATGTGGACTTAATTTGGACGTGCATGTGAAAACTTGTACTTGCAGGATGAAATGGAAGATGAGATGAAAAGGCTTAGAGTGGAGCTGAAGCAAACGATGGACATGTACCATACAGCCTGCAAAGAAGCAGTGGCAGCGAAACAGAAGGTCCTATCTACCCTAGAACCCTCTCTAATCTTCCTAGCTACTTAATGAGATCAACATTCAATTAGGTTTTGCATTTCCCATCTAAAAATATTCACTTATGCGTTCACAATCACATAGTTTTACTCTCATGGTTTTAAGGATATATATAAATTCAACTCTTACCTTCTAAGATTTTAGCAAAACAAATTTATGCAAGCATATGGTATAAAGAAGCTCATCTATTTTGTCATTTGATTCATGTATTAGTTGTATTTGGTTTTCCAATAATTATTCTAAATTGAAGTGCTTTCATCTTATTCATTCAATACAGACTATTGAGCTGGAAGAGTGGAAAATGAAAGAAGGGCAAAGACTAGAAGAGACACGACGTGCCCTAGACGCAACTCTGGCAGCTATGGAGAAGGAAAGAGCCAACTCTAAGGCAACAATTTTGGCAGCTGATGGCGGAGCAGCTGAGCGGTTTGCTGAGAAAGAGGTGCAAAGGACCATAAATGCAGATCAGATTTTCAAAGCTCTAAGAGAGGCTAATGATGAAGAGAAGAAAAGGGTTTTGGATGCTTTAGGCCAGTCTCATATAGTTTTCAAATACCAAAGCTTAGTTCATATTTTAGTTGTTTTATTTTTATTTTCTTTGTACTATTCACTATTTTAGTGGTGAACTTGTTTCAACAAGATTTACAGGAGCGTTTTTCTTTGTTTATATGCAAGGAAACTAGTTAGCATTATGTAGGCATTCTGTATCTTTCCTAATTATTGAAGAAAAAGAAATTAAAACCAGATTGTTGTCCAGAGTTTTTTTTCTCTGTCGAAAGATCGTTGTCCTGAGTTTGATCTATATTGAACCTTGAATTTTCTAGCTCATATCTTGAACATGACAAAAGGTTTATAAGAATTTGGCTGCAGTCAAATCTGGCAGCAAAATCTTAAAATTTCTTTTGAAGGCCAAAATATAATGAGGACATATGCGATTATATGGACTATGTTGTCAATCACATATACATATTTTGCTCTGAGATAAGCCTCTTGAAATTCAACAAAAAATTACTCCACGATTTAAAATTACCAAATTAAACTTACGAAAGACAGAATCATAGCCAAACAAAAAAGAAAGAAAAGAACAAATGGCAGCATCATAATAAATTTTATATGACTGTAACAACCTGGCTAGGACTGGTCAGTTTATATGCCACTACAAGAATGAGAGGCTCATCACGTCATATTAGGAAAAGTGTGGTTACTAATTTGTTAATTTTAATATATTATTATTAAGTTAAAAGTAATTATTGTTAGACAACCGCTATTTTACAAAAATCTTGATTGTCTAACATGGTATCGAAGCTCAATTGCAAAAAGCTGTTATGGTCAAAACCTGCAATCTTCATTCCCCAATTCTCTGTGATTTACAAGATGCATTCTGGAGCTGTACTTATATGTTTTTCTCTAATTGCATTTTATCTGTTTCTCCACGTGTCGGAAGAGGCTACACGCAAGGGTGCGTCAAATATACATTGTCACCATTCTCTAACATTTTCGGCTTTTGGAGTTAGTGGTTGTCTAACAAATTAACAATTTCCATATGCCTTGCTAACGAAAATATAAAGATGAATTTTGTTGACATTTCCTTTCTCTCCTGGTCTACGCATGATTATCCATCCAAAAACTCCTGTATTAGAAAGTCAACAAAAAATGACTCACCAGGCTTGCTGTCAAAAAGGCCAGAACCATGCAACTGCCTCAAGAAGACCTCTAGAATTCTTGGGCTTTGTTTTCAACTCTTCTAGATTTTCTGCTAGGACCTTTATGGGGCAAGTTTTTCTAATTTTGGAACAGGCAGTGCATTGAAGTTACAACTGCTCCCTCCACTGCATATATATTGGAAGCCTTATATCCTATAATGTAATTTGACGCCTATTCTATAATCGGAGAGAGAGAGAGAGAGAGAGAGAACAGATTAAGGGTGGTGAACGTAATTGGTTTTTGAGAGAATAACAAAGCTTCTGTGCCAAGGCATTGCCGGTGAGTCATACGAGATCAAGACCTTCCGAAGAGAGCATAAGAGGGTGCCAAGAATACTGAGGTTCTCCATTACGGAATTTTTTCATTCTAAGAGTCTCAGACATCCTTATCACGCTAGCTGGTTTCAGTTTCGTGGAGAGTTTTGAGGATTTTAATTAATTCATTCACAGAAAGAGAAATGGGAAGAGAACAAGCACAAAACAGGTTAGATACGGTGGCAGTGGCAATAGACAAGGACAAATCAAGTCAATATGCTATCAAATGGACAGTTGAAAATATTCTCACCAGGGGCCAAGCTCTCACACTGCTCCATGTTAAACATAGAACTGCAGTTTCCAGCCAAAGTATATATCAGTCAATCAATCTCTCTATCTATCTATCTCCTATTCATGTATATATATCATGATCTTAACTAAGATTATAATAATACCTTCGTTCTGTTTTTCTCATCTTATGCTGCAGCCAGGTGCACGGTTCCTATCTCCGAAGTCACAGAGGAGGCTGCAAAAGCGCACAAAAGCCAACTTGAAGCTCAAGCCAACGAGTTGTTTCTACCGTTCCGCTGCTTTTGCGCGAAAAAGGATGTGAGTCATACTTCTATATAATATCATTACTTTTGTTTGCGCAACGTAGTTTCTTCTCCTTATAGTTTTCATCTTTGCAACAGCTAAAATGCAATGAAGTCATAATTGAGGATACAAATACAGCAAAAGCTCTGGTTAACTATGTTATCAATAATTCAATTGACATTTTGGTACTTGGCGCACCAGCAAGACACGGCCTTCTCAGGTAATTGGTTCTCAACATTCCAATCTAACCTTACCAATGAAGTAATCAGTGATTTAGTGTTATACCTTAGTTCGTGCTTCTTGGAAGACAACGATTAAGCATGCATCCTAAATATATATCTATCTTGTAACAGATTCAAAACTACAGATGTTCCAAGCACCGTGTCAAAAGAGGCACCGGATTTCTGCACTGTGTATGTCATTGGCAAAGGAAAGATCTCATCTATGCATTGTGCTACCAGAACATTGCCCCGTAAAGCTTCCTCGCGTAATCAAATACAGGACCAACCCAGAAAAGTTTTTGAATCAAATTATACATTCAATCACAACCAGCAACCTAGAGGTTTGTTAGGTTGTGTTCCAGCCTCATGTTATATATATATATATATATATTAACTTGTTTTTCACCTCATATATCTGGTTTTTGTCATTACTCACTCAAGTTTCTTTGATCAATACAGCATCAGAGAGGACTCAGTATCCACCCCATAGTATGCTAGATGGCATTGAAATCAGGTAATCTCCGGTACACTGATTGTTTGGGAGACAAAATGTGTAGACAATGATGCTAAAAACAATTAATCATGGAAGAGGTGTACATAGTAACTAGTTAGCTGCTCTCCTTATTTTGTCTAATATATATACACACACACAAACACGTATGTTTATATGTATGTATCTATGTAGGTATGTATGAATGCTTGTTTGTATGTATCTTTGTATTTATCTATGTATATATGCATCCATATAAACAGTATTTGAAGGTTTAGTTTGTAGGTATGCGACTTTTCATTTGGAAATGTTTGTCTATGCTCTCATTCAATCATGCACTATCTGTACTGCCGGGCATGGCTCGCCCAGGCATTCCCTAGATGAAGTTTCAGTTAATGTGTTAAAAGGCTTCTAAATGGATATATATATATATATTTATGTGCAACAACCATAATACTGAAAAAGAGTATGTGAATGCACAATTAACGAAAGGACTAACATAATAAAATATATGCAGGTCGCCATTCACAAGAGCAACAGCTTCAAATAACAAATCATATGAGCTCTCGTCAGAGACCGATATATCATTCGTGAGTAGTGGAAGGCCAAGTGTGGATAAATTGTTTCCTTCTTTCTATGATGGTATGGAATCAGGACCTCGAAGTTCAATCAGCTCAGATATGGACACCATAAGCTCTACATCATCTTACTCAGGACACAAGTTCATTGACATGAACTCTTTGCAACATGAATTCTCATCCTCCTCAATTGAAAGTGAAAATTCATGCTCATCGCGGAATATGGTAAGACAATTTTTCTAGCATAGTAAACTTTTTTGCACCACCAACCCTTCAAGCTTTGGAGCTTTATCACTTTCGTCAGAAGCTAATATACCAGAAATGTTTATCTGAGACAGCTCCCATAGTGTGCCTTCAACAATTGATACATTAAATGACCAATATTTGCCATTGGTTTGAGTAGTTTTAATGCCACGATTCATAAAGACGCACATATTACAAAAACATACACACGGGAATAGTTCAGAATACTAATACTTAATTGCTAATAATAGGATGAAATGGAAGCTGAAATGAGGAGGCTCAGGCTAGAGCTCAAGCAAACGATGGACATGTACAGTACAGCCTGCAAGGAGGCACTCACGGCAAAAGAGAAGGTATTGATGCAATAGCTTTTTTCGAGCATAGACTAAAACAAAGTTTTGGAATCAACCCTAAAATTTCAATTTTTGATAAAATCAACGACAAATGGTGAGTACACATTGATATATGTAATGAATCTTTAGTACTATCCATGTAAGAATGGAATTTTTTTTTTATCATTCTACCAAACAGTGTACATATGACCTCTCTTCACCTCACATTTTCACAACGCAGCCTTGAAAATCCACAAAAAGGTTTGAGAATCATCATCTAGTAGGCCTAATTGGTATAGTTAGCCCTGTCTCTCTCTCTCTCTCTCTCTCTCTCTCTCTCTCTCTCACACACACACACACACACACACACACACATATAGGGACACTTCTATATAGTGTCACATAGTGCATCTTATGCCTCTTACAATTCCTAAAGGTGCTAGCAGATGCAAGTGTATCTAGCAAAAGCTGAAATAACAAAGCTACATGTCCAACCATACACAAAAAGAGATGAATTCATTTGATGGAATATAGATCTTGGGTTTAGAACAACTATTCATCCATAAATTCTAATAACATATCATCACAGGCAATGGAACTTCAACAATGGAAATTGGAAGAAGAACAGAGATTACACGAGGCACGGATAGCTGAGGAAGCTGCATTGGCACTTGCAGATGAGCAGAAAATAAAATGTATGGCAGCCATGGAGGCTGCAGAATCAGCTCAAAGGATTGCAGTACTGGAAGCACAGAAAAGGAGGAATGCAGAAATGAAAGCCCTTAGAGAAACTGAGAGGAAGAAGGCATTAGAAGCAAAAACATATGATTTCATGTACAGGAAATACACAATTGAGGAGATCGAAGTAGCAACAAAGAATTTTTCAAATGTAAACAAGATTGGGGAAGGAGGCTATGGGCCAGTATACAGAGGTGAACTAGACCACACACCAGTGGCAATAAAAGTTCTACGTCCGGATGCAGCTCAAGGACGGTCGCAGTTCCAGCAAGAGGTTGGTGACTTTGCTCATTATCAAACTTTAAGGTTTATAAACAATTATTAGGCAATTCATGTGTTGAATCTGATCATGAATGAATTGAAGATTGAACTCTCACATTGTTGCCAAAACTAGGAACATGTTGTTTGAAAACAAAAGCAGACAGATCCAATGATTTTCTTATGATACTGAAGGGGAACACGAGTATAAAAAATTACTTAAAAAACAAAAAGAGAGAGAATAGACATACTTAAATAGATAAAAAGATAACTTCTCTGGTTTAAGAAGTTGCTCGGGCATCAAACAAAGAGTTGAATCAAATAGTTCTTCAAGTGATTTATTGTACATCTAAAAGTAGTTAATACCAATCCCCCAACCCTTTCAAGTTGTAACAGTTCAATTAGAAATGCTAGGATTATTGATATTTCATACTCTCAAAGGCTAATAAGCTTCATCTTTCTAAGCCATTTATATTGTTTGTGTCTTTCTGAGAAATATATCTGGTAACTCTTAACTATGCAGGTTCAAGTATTGAGTTGCATGCGCCATCCAAACATGGTTCTCCTTCTTGGAGCCTGCCCAGAGTATGGTTGCCTGGTCTATGAGTACATGGCTAATGGGAGCTTAGAAGACTGTCTCTTCCGGCGAGGTAACACCCCAGTTATTCCTTGGCAACTAAGGTTCCATATAGCTGCAGAAATTGGCACCGGACTTTTGTTCCTTCATCATACCAAGCCAGAACCCCTTGTACACCGTGACCTGAAACCCGGAAACATTTTGCTAGACCATAACTATGTGAGCAAGATCAGTGATGTAGGTTTGGCCAGGCTAGTCCCTCCATCAGTAGCCGATTCAGTCACTCAATATCATATGACATCAACAGCCGGAACATTCTATTATATAGACCCAGAGTATCAGCAAACTGGGATGCTTGGAATCAAATCTGATATCTACTCACTTGGGATCATGTTTCTACAACTAATAACAGCCAAGCCACCAATGGGTTTGACTCATCATGTTCAGCGGGCTATCGAGAAAGGGACTTTCCCAGAGATGCTTGACCCTGCTGTTCCTGACTGGCCAGTTGAGGAAGCCTTAAAGTTTGCCAAGATAGCTTTACAATGTGCCGAATTGAGGCGTAAAGACAGACCGGATCTTGGAAATGTTGTGCTACCTGAGCTGAACAGATTGAGAAAACTAGCCGAAGATAACAAGATGTGTGGCATCCTCGGTGGTGGTGAAGAATTTTCACCAAGTCATGGCCCCATTTCCACAATACAAGTGAGTTTCATAACATAAACCTTGCATTGCACTTGAGGTTCATATTACATACAGCTTAGTGAAACTTCAAATTTTGGCAAACTGAATGAGGTTCATATTACATACAGCCTGTGAAGGCTTCACGAGATTGTTAGCTCTTTTGTTTTTGGATATTTTGTGAACATTTGTACTTATTTATTAACTTTTTGGGGTTTTTCTTTCAGGATGTTATGAGTGACTTTGAGCTACCACAGTCTGGATACTATAGCTCAAGCTCAAGGAGGAGTTCAAGGGCATCATGTTATTATGGAAGAAACTAATACTTTCACTTCAAATACAGCTTTTCAACTTCTTCCAAGTTTAATCCAATTTGATCCAAACCTGCCCATAGATTGTTTAGGAAATTAGGACTATGTTGTGAGTCTGTTGAATATGTATCCATAAATTCTTTATTTTTTGAAAAACAAATCTCCTCTTAGGCAAGGCCATCTGACATTCGAGACGTCAACACTGAATACTCTTTTGCAATACACGAGTGGCATTTTGTTTTTTTACAGGAGTCATACTTCAAATATCATGCTCTGATACCATGATAGAGTTTGCTGGTTACCACACTTCTCAAAAGCTTAAACCATAAGGTTGTGACCAACAGTTACTTTATTTTCTAACACAAACATTTATCCAAACTCAAGAGTATGGTTCTACGAGTTCCAGCTCTAGTCCAATTGTCCATCCAGTGGACATAAAATCTGAGTGTCGGTGCACAATGCCAGAAACCTGTTAGAAACAATAACAGATTTTGAAGTCAACTCTATGAGTACACTGATTGTTGGTGCTCTATCACACATAATATCACTAATAGAACCAAGAACACCCTCGCCTCTCGCCTAAATATCAGCGTCACCAAATAATTAGTCCAAGACTCTCACAGTACAGTATTATGACCGCACATACTGATTTAAGGTCTATTTTTATACGTAGCCACAACAGGATGTCTTTGCCAGAATATATCTTGAGCAGGAAATTATTTATTTATATCATCGACTTTCCAACAATTTATGCTTCCCGCGAAAGTGATAAAGCTCAACGGTTGTATCTGTTAATTTAAGAAGGTACTTTTTAAAGTCAATGAAACTCCAAGGAAATCAAAGGGAAAACGATAAGAAAGACAACATAAACACACAATATCTTTGAGTTACAAATAAATATAAAAACATGAAAGAGGAGAAAAGCAATTTGTGCGATTTAAGGTTTCATAGCAGTTTATGTGAAGCATAGAACACGCATCAAAGCCAATAGACAGAAAGAGAAGCTGCAGTAAATAGCAAGGGAAACAGACACGAGGGGAATTAGTTTTGACTGACAGATTAGTTTCAGCATGTGAGATTCAAAAGAAATAGTAGGACTACTCTTACATTTATTTCTTACTCCTCTGAGTGTACTTAAAGTCTGAGTGAATGTAGCATTTCGTTGCAAATTTGGTAAGTTCAGGTTAGCATCTCTAGCATTATATTGGCACGATATCCATCACCAATATCCAACTTCATTTCAGCTTGAACAAGGGGAGCCTACGTAAGACCTTGGAGATCAGGAAAATTTCGGTTATCCAGAATGAACATAAGAAGAAAGTGCAGAGACATACCCATGCACAATATAGGGCGATGCATATATCTGAGCTGCAATTATCATCTTGTATAAATACATGCACTTGTTGAACCAATAGAATGAGAACTGTAACTGATAGACATGCTATTGTCAGCGACAATCCTTCTCTAACAATCGGTCAAACATGTCTTTACACGAAGTGCAGGTCACTGGTCAGTAATTCCAAAAGATCTGGTTCCTCCGATATTTCTTTTTCAAATATACTGAAATTAACTTCCTATAAGTCCATTCCCTCTGACTCTGGAACTCCAAAAATGCCTCTGAGCTTGCATGAAAGTCCCCTTTTCCCAAAACTTCAAACACAAATGGATCTGTTAATATGAGTGGAGAATCATCCAAATTCATTTTATTGAGAGCAAAATACAAATTTTTTCCTAGTCTTCTCTCTAAGTACGCATCAACAACACAACCACAAGTCACAAGATCAGGAACAACTTTCTCATGTTTCATGTGTTCAAGACTCAGATGGAGATCCCAGAGTAGAGACATCCTAGAAAAGGCCAGAGCACGAATATTAAATGTAGTAAGATCAGGGTGGAAACCAGCTTCCACCATTCTCAGAAATTCTCTTTGTAAGCTTTTCATCTTAAAATTGGCAGCGTAGGATAACAACAAAAGGTTCCAAGAAAGATTTCCCAAGTTTCTTCTACCTAGACCAACATTCTTCAGGAGCTCAGCTAATCTGTAAAACTTCCTTTTCTTCAGATACGCAAATGACATTGCCCGGATTCCCTCTTCCTCTATAAGAAACCTAGACCTCTTAAGGCGGCCATAAGCGGTCTCCATCTCAGTCAGAGAACCAAAAATGCTATAGTATCTAATAAAGGCATTACCAGTGGCAGAGTCCAATGGGAAACCCCTTGAAATCATTTCTTTCAATGTGCCTTCCATCAATTCAAGCTGCCCCCCTTTCCCAAAGCAAGAGATAGCCAGTGAGTAAACCTCTGGAAACAAACTTAAATTCCTCGACCTTATCTGAGCCAAAATTTCATTCACTTTTTCGAAACATCCCACATTGCCATAAGCATCAAATAACTCGGAAACAACCTGAATAGTAGGCACAAAAGAACTATGTAACATTTCGTCCCAAATTGCCTCAGCTTGAGGAAAAAGGCCATTGTTCGCATGGCATAGCATCAAAGCAGATAGAGTGGAGTTGCTAGGCAAAAGACCATCGGATTTCATTTCAAGTAAAAGCTCCTGGGCTACATGAGGCATCTTTTGTCTACTTAAACTTCGTATTAGCGGCACACAATCTACATAAATATCCTTGCCATCAAAACACTCTTCCTGCTTCCATTTCCGGATTATCTGTTCTAAGCACACCCCAAATGAAAGGCATTCAAACACATCCATCAAGAAATCTAAAACAATAACAAGCATTACAAGCCCATAAATAATTGAGTACACGCATAAACTGCATGGTAATAATAGTCGTAATAAGATGTTGAACACACTAAAAAGCATGAGAGAGTTTTTTCTTAGTATAACAGAATAATAGTCTTTTTTTCCAAATAAGAAAACACACAAGTCACACTAAAACAAGAAAATTCATGAATATCCAACTGGTGCTATCTAAGATGCAAAGGTGCTGGAAATAAATTATGGGCATTTGTTGAACCAGAATTTGCTTCAAATAAAAGTCCCAATTTCGCAAATACAGTACTTTTTCTCTTTTGAAGTGAATACAGATACTTTTAATTAATTAACTGAAAATAAGCCAAAATCGTCTGTTCATAATAGAAACGGAGACTGACCTTGCGTGCCAGGGCTCGACTCTGTGACTGTGGTTGATGGGAGGAAAAAGAAAGATGCTGTGGCTTGAGAGAACTTGAAACACATGTTGTGCTCAGAAGAAGAGTGCCCTCCATTTTCACACACAGCTGAATGTTGGAAACTGAAAGAAGTTGGAAGCGACGCGTTTTGCATCAAGGCCTTTTCTTTTTCTTTTTCTTTTTCTGTAAAGGGGAGGGAGTAAAGTTTGTAGTTTTGTGGTCCATAAGTATTTGTACTGCTTATTGACCAAAAAAAAAGTATTTGTATTGCTCAATCGATACAGTCAACCAAGTATATGTTATTGTAACATCAATATAATATCTAAATTATCATATTTGGGTCCAAAAGTTAGGGTCTCATCAATCCGGCTGAACTGATAAAATCGGTATATTCATATTGTAATTCTCAGTTTGATTTGGTTTTAAACACAAAAAAGTCAAAAATCGAATCGGACCATATATGATTTGGTTTCGTTTGATTTTTTAGCTTTTATAAACCAGCCTAAACCAAACTTAAAAATGGCAATTTTCTTCGCGGATAAGTTTAAACTACGAGCGATAGTCTATTCTGACTCTCCAAATCCGAACACATAGTAAACAAACTTGCAAAGGTAAAAGGTCTAGTTCATTACCTTCAGAAATAAACAATGACTTAAAACTTCATGCAGCCATTAAAAAAAGGAGATATTTTTGCATCCTAATTTCAAAATCAGGCCTAATTTTGAAATCTAATAAAAATGGAGTCCAGATTGTAGTTTTCATTTTCACTTTCTTTTTTGGGAGATTCACTATTATACCCAATATAAGAGATCAAGTTATTATTATTTTTTAAAAAAACCCTATATGAAATGAACTTTAGAAAAACACCAAAAACTCATTTACAACATAACAAAAAGGTTTTTAACTTCTTTTGAATTACAAAACTGCCATTGATTTTTTAAAATAAACTCAACCCCAAAACCTTATAAAAAAAAACCCAAAACACTCAATAGGGCATCAAAATTAAATTCAATGGAGTCAACTGTAATTTTTTTGGGTTTGTTTATAGAAATTAAATAGTGTAGGATTTATCTATATTATTAGTTCTGAGAATGGATATATGACTAAATATCTCTTCTTTTTTCATGCGAGCTTCGCTGCCTCTCAACTCTCTCTCGCTTCGTTGCCATAAAACACAACTTATGACTAAATTTGAATCATCTTTCGTTTAAACTCAATTTGGAGAACAAGAAGTTCGAACCAAACATTGATAAATATGGTTAGACTGGTCTTTGTATACGTGGTTGTAGTTTTGTGACTCATAAAATATTAACATGTTTTGACTTTAAGCAGTGGACTCTGGAAATTTTGCTGCTATATATAGTGAACTTTATGCATTCATGTTACATGGTCTTATTTGCTGTCGCAATAGAAATCTACAGCAGTTTGTGCATTGAATTCCTTTTCCAATGGTTTTCATGTACACAGTTGTTAATTTTCTGATCAGTCTTCATTTATGTAAAGCATGAAGAGGAAGTTATATTCGCACTCCTAACAGTGGTTTTTATTCGATTTCTTTTGCAACAGACTTGGGGCGCCGCAACGTCCTCTTCCACAAGTGCCTGATGTGCCTGATGCCTGATGTGTAACGTGCTTTTCTTCTTCTTCTTATCTGACAAGTTGACATATTTTCGTGTTCTTGTTTATTTTGTTCCAGATTTGTAGGGCAGTAGCCGCCTATGCCTGAAGTGCCTGGTGTTCTCTTGTTGTGTTATCTGTAGTGCTGATATGTTTTCTCCAGTAGTTCATGGACAGTTCTTCAGTTGTTGAAAAACTTTAATGGAACTATGGAAGTATCTAGTTACAAATTTCAATTGGCTTTGCAGTTTGAAACAATGAACCAATTTCAATTAAACGCTTTGCAATTTTCTTTTTCTTAATTTCTTTTTGCATTATTTTCGCTGAGCTCAACTACTGACAGTAGAATCCACTTTTAAGTGACGATGGTGAGGTGAAATTATACCCACTTTGTCAATATTTCTAGGAACATAACCCCATGCATTGGGCAACTACATCATTCATTCAACCATTCAACATAGCATTGTTCAACAATCCAACTTACAAGTTACAAGGGGGATGTAATCTTTTGTCTTGCAACCCCTTGACAGCCTCATAGGTATCTAAAGCTTTGTTCCTTTGGTCTTTGGAAGTATTGGTCCAATTGTTCAGCACATCATCATTAGTGTGGGCAATGAGACCTTACGTTATGTGTCACTGAAAATTAAGATTGCAATGTTGAAAAAGATGAAATCAAGGCATTTCTCAAACCAAAACATATTACGACTAGTAGACGAGCCAAATCTAACAAACGATGCCGGCATAACTAAAGGCCTTGATTTTTCAACTCAACAGCGATGCAGGCAATACCATCCCTCGTCGGAGATCTACAGGCTATCCCAAACCCAGCCTAAATCCTCAATTCCCTCCCTCGATAGGGATTTGTGCCATCCCTACAAAGCCCTGACTGACCCGAGAAAAACACGAAGGAAAAAAAAAGCCCATCAACCACAAAGCCTCCATCCAATGTGGGAAGAGGAATGCTATTCACAATCGCTCAAAAGCGATTCTCACAGCACTTGCTAGACACGTGTACCCGTTCCCATCATTTCTTTTTTTTAATTGTTTTTTCTCTTTCTTCTCTCGGTTGCCTCCCTCTCTCTCTTATTCTATTACTTTTCTCTCTTTCTTCTCTCTGTTGCCTTCGTCTCTCTCTTTTTTCTATTTTTTTTTCCATTGCTCTCCCTCTATTCTCTCCTCCTCCTGCTTCTTCTCCTTCTTATTTTCTTTTCCCCGTCTCCGTCTTCTTCTCTGTATCTGTCTCCATCGATGGGTTGTAAAAACCCAAACCTTTTGTAACACAAAAACAAATACCTCAAGCTTTAAAAACCCAAACTTCTTCTTCTCTGTGTATGTCTTCCCCCAAATCACAGTTCTCTCCCTCAGATTTCTTAACTTTCTTCTCTCTTTTCTCTCTGTTTCTCTTCTCTCTCTTTTTTAATTTCTTCTTTTTCTTCTCATCTGGTATCCGAGAAAGAAACCCATTTGATGGGTCTCGGAAAAATTCTAATGGAGCTATTGGTGCTGGAGGTGTAATCCGTGACTCTACAGGGGACTGGGTCACAGGGTTTACAGTTAATTTGGGTAAAGGCCAAATCTTAGAGGCTGAGATATGGGGGCTGTTCTTTGGTCTCAAATTGGCAGCTGAAAAAGGCATCCCCAACCTTGTGGTTGAGATGGATTCTGCAACTGCAGTTCAGCTTTTGAGAGAGAGACTTAAGACTTGAGATTAAAAATGGAGGGGAGTGCTGAGGTTTCAGACCAGAAAAATAGAAACAAAAGGGCTGTGCAGGCCAGAGAGCACGGAAGGGAAGAGGAAATGGAGAGAAGGAAGAGAAAAAAATAATAGAATAAGAGAGAGAGAGGGAGGCAACCGAGAGAAGAAAGAGAAAAAACAATTAAAAAAAAGAAAGGATGGGAACGGGTACATGTGTCTAGCAAGTGCTGTGAGAATCGCTTTTGAGCGATTGTGAATAGCATTCCTCATGTGGGAATTGGAGTTGGCTTTCACCTCAATTTAGTGACGCATTCTGTATTAAAGATTTGAGGCCAGCAAGCAATTGCAAAGATGCTTGAAGACACTAATTTTGAAAAACGGGCAATCAGTTGATTCAATTGTACACCATTAGATTAGCCAACCTTGATCTATACGGCAATGCATGGATATGAAGCTACTTGCCGTAAGAAACATGAAACAATTAAATTAGCATATCTGCACATACAAAAAAGTAAGATGTTTTCTATAAATAATAATTCTTACTCTGTATATGCGCAATGGTCCAAACCAAATCATTCAGATTTGAAGAATATAAATTAAAATAGTATAAAAATGACAGGACCATATATCTTGTGGTTTTTAATTCATAGATAGTTAATTAGTTCATCTTCTCTCCATACATCTTAGAACTAACACCAATCGTGTTGCCAACTTATATGAGTGTTCATATTCGAATGCGTTATTTTCTACTTCTAAATTACTATAAGCTGCCTCAGCTGCTCTCTCTTGAAAACTGGCCCGGACGAGGGACGTCGTATTCTCAGTTCAATAGAGCTTGATATCGAGGGAGGAAATATGCTTGAACAGTTTTACCCCACACATGTTCAGATCAACAAATATATACAGGAAATAAATTATGATGCGACGAGCAATGGAGATTTGGACAAGAGTATCAGGGTCTGCGAAACGATTGATGTCCCACCCTTTACCTACTAGGTTCTCCTCTAACCAAGTGACCGGGTCGTCAACAATAATGTACTTAATATTTGGAGGAAGCGCTGCCAAAAGAAATGGATAGTTTATACCGCGTAATTAGAGTCAATTATATTCGAAAATGCGTGCATAAATCGTTATACTAGGATTCAAACCAAACGTCGATGGTATAGGCATATGAGACATCTTAGGCGCCCCCCAATTTCCAGAAATTAAGATAGGTTGGTTCTTCCAGGGCTTAGTGAAAGTGGGTTTGCAAGCAGTGGCGGACCTGTGCAGGCGCAAGGAGGTGCACCTGCACCTCCGGTCGCCGGAAAAATCCATTACAGAAGCTGGAGTTGCACCTCTGCTTCAGACCATAGATGCGCGCAACCTGTTCGACGAAATGCTCAAACGAAATGGGAAGCCTGCGTTGCTGGCTGCGCGCGCGCGCTTGTTTTTTTTTTAACGAAGCTTGGCCAAAACGACGTCGTTTTGGACCAGGCTTTTTAAATTTTTTTTTTAAAAGGCGCTGCTCTTTTTTTTTTGGACCAGGGTTTGTAAAAAAACAGAAAGTAACGACGACCTGGGCTTTTTAAAAAACAGAAAGTAAAAAAGCTGGGCCATTTCGTGGCTTTTCAAAAGGGTTCTATAATTCCTAAGTTAATTGGGTTTAAATTGGGCTTCTATAATTCCTATTTTAATTGGGTTTTAATTGGGAGTCTCTTTATTCAATTGGGTTTTGGAAATTCCTTATTTAAATGGGATTGAGAATTCTCTTTATAAAAGACCAACTTAACATCACCCAAATTCATCAAACCCTTATTTTCTTTTAATTGTACAGTTATGGAACGGCACTTTAAGAGAAATAGTTTAAATCCTCCTTCAAATAATCCGGTTAGTTCAAATCCTCCTTCAAATAATCCGTCTAGT